TCCCAGACAATGGAATACCACACATCACAACAGTAAGCAAGCATTTAAGCGATCTGAACAATGCGGCCTTTTCGAGAACAACAAAATTCTAAACGAAAACAGCAATGCATCGCTGAAATCTGTCATTAAATCAAAGTCCGTAATCTAATTCCATATCCGAAGCACTTTACATAGCATATCACTGACATAGAAATGACATTCTGAATGGCAAACCATTGATAAACTGTATTCAACCATGCAAGGATTCCAAGAACAATAAACCATTACTGCAGGCACAGTTCTGTCCGATGTTTATGACTCTCCCTCGTCAATCCTGTAATGTCCTGTCAGACTAGCGTCTGTCATCCATTCTTCTGCAGAGAACGTACATGCCAAGAACCAACAGCGCAGGAACAATGGCGGAAGTGACATGTAACGAAACTATCATACATACGATTTGATGCGGATGCTTGCCTCTTTGCTACACTGACGTAATTAAATCCTCAAGTGACGTTCCCCATATCCCCTGCAACCCTCTGTTAACAAAACAGGCCAGATGTTTCTCTCTCCTGGTACGTTTCAAAAGGCCCGAGTTACTAGTATTTCTACTGGGATTTACTGCGTGCTAATACATAATGCTCGCTGTATGAGCTAAACAATTCATTCCGTCTTGAAAAAAAGAAGAAAAATATTCCCGGGTCCCATTCTGTGGTCAAAAGTCTCTTCCGGATGCCACTCTGGGAAATGATGACATCAATATAATCGAAATTCGTATTATTATAAAGATGAAAAGGGTGAATAGAAACCCCGAAACCAATCCCACAGAGCCCATAAAAAGGGCTTCATTTTTCGCATTCATGTCACCATGGAAATATCATTGGAAAAATAATGTGCAAAATATTCTAAAAAAATTTCCGTTCACAAACAAATAATATTCTGTTGTCTAAAGAAACAAAAGCTAATTATGCCCACACTCAAGTATAAATTCCACGTTTCTCAGGAAATTTTCTGCATGATATAAAAATTAACTCATATAAAAGAACAAACAAAAATGGGGGAGAACTGGAGAATATGATGAGAAAGAAACACGGCAGGAAGGAATTAATGAAATAAACGCACAAAAAGAATGCAAGAAAGAAGGCGAGAAGCTGAGGGAATAAGACAGACTACAATAGAAGCGATTCTTCGTTGAATTTCAAGAAGCTTTTTACGCTGGTGAATAATTTGATGTGCATGAATCATTTTCCTCGCCCAAACTAAAAAAAGCATGTATGTCTTTATCACCTATACACGTCTGAGTAAAGCGAGGCTGTATTGAGCCTGTTTGCATTAGCAGCTCGCGATGCTAGGCTGTTGATCGTTTGACTCAAGCTGTCTATTCAGAAGCTGTAGAAAGTGATCGAAGACTAGAAACTGTCTATCAGAAGCTGGTGTTGACATAACCTCTCATGACCTACGAAACTCCTTCCTACTCACAGATCACAAGCAACGACGGCAGGCAGAAAGAAGCTGGATGGAATTCTCATCTGTGAAAACAATTCCGCTCGCTGGGCGGTCCTGACGACTCTGTCGGTCACATAAGCACCGGAACTCCCATTCTGAAAACTGTATGTGTACTGTCGCACGGTACACAGACTTATTTATGTTTTTAATATTACCGGAAATCCGTTATGGGTGACAACCGGTATGAAATGCAACTTAAAAACTTTTCTTACATAATTTAGCTACTGAAAACTGAAGTGTAGGAGAAAAGAAAACAAATGTTTCCTTTCCAAATACCACCAGCCAAAATGTCACTGTCAGGACTTGCTATATTTCCGCTTGCCTTCCGTTCAATACTCTCATTTTGAGCGGAGCTTCGTTCATTTGCACTGTCCAGCAAAATTTTCGACTGAGAGATAGGATGGCAGGACTCCGATCGATCGAGTTAATAAAATCGACAGGGTACGAACTCAAAGCCGGGATTCGATTCCAGAGAGGGACACTGAAATTGTTCTTTAGTCTGCTAGTAGGGCACCACTCTGAATTCCATTATCCATTAAGTCTCCTATACAGTGGGTATCAAGCACAATTTCCCTGCGGGTAAAGATGGCCAGAGCGTAATATCTATCATTTAGTATGTTAATAATTAATATTTACTTTCCCGTTCGAATCAAATTCATGATTAATTCTTAGGCCCTTTGGTAGTTTTGCCATACACAGAGTAGTCTATCTGAGCCTTCGGCTAGAAACTGTTAGCAACAAACAGTTCAGTTCTGGAGAATTTAATAAATTTCAAAAGTTGACAGTCGTTCGGGGTGACCAAGAAATTTCCAGCCTTTGATAGATTCCTCAACCAGAGTTCGTCACAGGACCCGTTCCTGATCTATCCCAATCTATTCCACAGCCTCACACCCAAAATGCAGTGTTGCAGACAGTTAAAGCAGGCGGTATACATAGTTACCACTAGGCTTTAAAGTGTTAAGAAAGCTGGCACCTTTAGGCTTATAAAAATATGGAAGGGAGGTTGTCATGTTCGAATGGAGACTTCCTGGAAAATGCTAATGGCATCAAGTTGGCTGTAATGTACACAAACAACTCGGTTCCAGGACTTCGACATTCATCTTCGCGGTGTGACGCGAAAGGAAAATAAAAGCAGCAACCAAAGAAAAACACGCGGTGACCCGTGGGGTTCAGGAAGGAAACAAGCCAGCATCCTTCCAGTCGGATTGGATACAAGCAAACTTTCCCTGTCACGTTGGTGACCGCAACCATTTGGTGGCGGGCTCCAGCCCTCACGATGAGAATGGTAACAACCCGCAGCGCCAGGGGTGTCAGTAGCCATTAACAACATATTTAATAGAGCTTCTTTGAAGAATCTACCACATGTTCACAATTACCCGCACATGTCCCTGATTTGTCTCAACACATCGACAAAATTGTTCAGAAACGCCTCAGCTGTTAATACGGGTAGGATTTAGTGACGAAAATTGAGGTGTAACACAGCGGTCAGGGTTGAATATGGCCCCTGAGACAATTCGTACCAGAAACCGAAAACACGCGACTGCAGCATCGGAAAAATTGTGAAGTACAACCAAAACTTTAAAAACGTTCTTATCTTATCATTCTTCATCTTCTCATCCCTTTTCCTCATCCACATACCTCTCTCCCCGTTGTTCTGCCTTTCAAGAATAAACCTGTTATGATTTCAGTTCATCGTTAACAGGCACAACCAAAAACCTTTGTTCCTGGTGGGTAATAATTCGAAACAAAAATTTGATAATATTTCTAATAGAATTCTGTGTAGAAATTCTGCCCACTCACGTAAATGTCTTCTCTATATGAAATAAAAAGCTAACCTCAAAAGATACACAATGTTTGTTGGAGACGAATATTTGACATTACACGTTTCTAGACTTGGATAGCAGGGTTAAAACTTTCATAGGTTTCACCACCAAGTATCAACACATTAAACACTGCTGGCCACCCCTGATAAAAGCACGGTTCTTTATGACACGTCCGGAGTAATATTCCTCACCACCTTCTGTCTTTCCCCCATGGCTACCGCTCCATTTGGTGCCTCTCAGTGAAGTCATACTTTACTGCCTAATCAAAAACTACTCTCAGTCAAGAGTTTCTCATTTTTTGGGGCCATCATCGACCTTCATCTTGCGCAGAATAAAACTAACGCAACCTTTCATAGATTTAACACCCCAATTACACATTTAGATTCGTGACTTACGTTATTTTATGTTTATAAGCCGAAATTTGCCTCCCAAATTTGCAGACATTAAAAGTTCGAAATGTGTGCATGTACAATTGCACTTACTCAAAAAACAACCTGATTCTTCATTACTTTACACTACTGCTCATGTACGTTAATTTGTTTAACACACAGCAAAAAGAATCTTTCATTCTTCATGGTTAAAGTGCTATAATAATCACCAAACTAGATGTAAATTAATTTCTTACAAAAATACGTTCAAATCAACGCAAAACTCGATCATGTATTACACATGATAAATACGGAATTATAACCTGAAAGCCTATACAGAGGAAACCACTGTAAAACTTTGGAAAGTTGCAGATGGCGTAATCTGGCTCTTGATTTGGGTCAGTAGCAGGCAGACCTCCTGAACTCGGTAATGTGATTCCTAATAGAATCGAATTAATTACAATTTTCATATCCTGGTCTAACACAACGGAAACTCCTTGCACTTGGTGACCCAAAAGTAACCAATGAACGGGCATTCTGAGCACGTACTTCAAGATATACGAAGCTAATCCTGCTCCCACACGAACGGGCATTCGGAGCACGTACTTCAAGATATACGAAGCTGGAATTCATTAATAGGATTTTAACATTCCTCTCAAATACATTAATAGGATCTCCGTATGCTTAAAGTGGTATACGTGAAGAATTACTTAAAACAGTCGAAGATATTCTGGGAACAGAACGAAGAAACACGCGAGTGTTCTTACTGGAAAAATTGGCTGTACTTCACGTTGGGAGCTTCTGTCATTCGGAAATCACGTACATTAGCTACTTAGCAGTTTAATCGTGCTTATAGTTTCACTAGAAGCACATTAATGCGTATGTTTCGAAGATTTCTTAATAATTTTCATACAATGGCACCACTAACTTAAAAGTTTCTTTATGTAACCTTAATTTCCTCTTATTTCGTATTCCTTGGGATCAAGTTCTGCTGTCATTATTTTTAATAAAATAACATTCATTCTCATTTAAATTAGCTAACAATCTTCAGGCAAGGCATATAAAATAAATAAATTTCTATAAGCCCATTTAATTATCTTAATGTCATAATTTCATATTTGCTTAACTTCCTTAAAAATGTCTAAAAGTTTGGATAATTTCAAAGAGTTCTTATTACAAAAGGCTAATTCCTTTTTGCAGTTGAATTTCCCAGACCTGACTTTTAAACAAACTTCATGTCGAAGCACCATTCCACTATCTCCGGAACACACAACGCATACCGATATGCAATCAGTTTCAATTCACTTGTAGCCTGTTCACTACTTACCAAGTCCGGTTAGATGACAGTTACAGACGGTCTCCAAGCCGCAGATAACGTCAGGACATGCACACCGACAGAGATTACCTGAAAGAAAACCAGAAACAGCTCTTTACATCACTGGAGAAAACACACTCTTGGCAATTATAAAGTATATACCTCTCACTACAGACAATTTTATACTATATCACAGCCAAGATACATATGGCTACGTGGTGATAAACTGGATTATTCATTCAAAAGAACTGCGCAACATTATCATTATGTTCATTGGTCACAGACGTCAGTGCCATCGCAGGTTAGATAACGACCCGCCTTTGTAATAATATAATTAATAATTCTTCAATAACGTAACCTTATGTTGTTCACATTTGTGGAATGGCTGTCATTAGTACCCCAGACGTCAACTCATTGTAAAGTAGGTTCTGAATCTGTCGCATTACAATCGTTTAGAATATTTCTGAGGTCTAAATGTGTACATTCGTGGACTACATGGTATACTGTATACTTTGTAGTGAAGTCTTGATATCCTGTTAATAAAATTTAATGTATCTCTACCATTAATAATTGACGAAAAATTAAAATGTTTATTTCAGGTGTCTTACAAATGTTAATCTGAAGGAACATCAATTTGGACAAAATTAAGCAATGCATCTGACTACTGGTGAGGAAATACCAATGCCCCGCCAGACATAAAAACAAAGTGAGGGTTCAGAATTAGAGGACAGGACTGTACAAGAACTAGGTTGCGCCGTTTAAAATAATTAAGGGTTCGGAGCTGATTACCCAGATCTTCCGTCATTAGCCCTTCCAGTGAAGGGTGCGTACAGAGATGAGAAATGAGAGGGAATGTAGATTATCTTTCGCGGAAGGGGATGCTGTTCTAGGGGCAGAGGGGAGGTTACTACTGCTGTCTGAGGAAACGAATCGAGTTGGGGGGGAAGGGACAAGGTTATCAGACTTCCCCCGCTTTCGCCATTTCCAATGTCCCCTCTCCTTCGCTACTACCCTTGTATGGCAACTAATGACAACCATAGGCTCTAATAATTTCATAGCCGCACGCGCCCACACAAACTTGTACGTAATTATCTCACTTCCAAAACCCGATCTGGTCCTTACTTTCCTCACTGTTGATTATGGAATAATTCCTCTACCACCAACGCATCAGTGAGTACTTTGTACGTATTTATGTAGAAGCAAACATGCACCATTTCTCTGATTACATGTCAGTGAGTGAATAGCTTCAAAGTTCGTTCCAAGTTGCCCCCTTGCATCTCCCCTAAAACTTTAACTTAAATGGTCTCCCTAAGGGAGATACATCAGAGGTCATTTAAGACATGCTCTGAGTTTAGGCTACCAGATAATTATACCTGTCAAGAACGAAATGCTTATTATTAAATGCCAGGATGCATAGTCAAAGTTTACTTCAGTTCCCCTGCACTTTGGTTGGCCCAACAGGCCCCGGCTTCGCTGGCGCATAAATCCTCGTTTATCAAAATAAATCATTCGGAAAGAAAATCCTATTTTTGTTGCAATGTTAAGATACTTGATCAGAATTCAATTTTCTTAAAAAGTTAAACTATAGATTAAAAAATGACGGTCTTCTAGAAGCACCTCTGAAACGTCGGGACTTCTGCCATACTGCAAGGCGCAACTTCCCGGAAGACAATCGACCTTCTTACTTGCCGCCATAATCTTTTCCATAAACTGGTTCGTAAAATAATCGGTCAGTAAATATATTTCGGAACAAAGTACATAAGTAACAAGCAAACAAACTTTTACTTGAGAAGCTACGAGTCGCTTAGACACTCAATAAATTCCCCATGTTCCATGGAGACAAAACGTTCATTATCGTGTTCGTAAGAGCCCGCCGCATTCATCCCCATTCTGAGCCACAGAACTGAAACCACATTCAATTAATTTAAGATCAATTTTAATATTATATCCCACCTATGTTCAGGTCTTCCTACTGGTCTATTCCCCTCAGGCTTACTGGCTACAATTTTCTGTATATTTATTATCTGTCCTACGCGTGGTACATTTCATTAAAACGTATCCTGATACCCTCCGTAGTGTTCTGGGTTCGATGCCCTGTAGTCTTGTAGCTTGCTGAATTCTGGAGGAATTTATCGCCACAATCTTCGGGGCAGAAGATACGTTCCGCTAAGTTCTTAACTACAAAGCCCTCTGTAGTCTTGTAGCTTGCTCAATTCTGGAGGAACTTATCGCCACAATCTTCGGGGCAGAAAATGCAGAAGGTACGTTCCGCTAAGTTCTTAACTACAAATAAGATTACAAGGAGTCACAGCCCACAAGACCATAATCTACAACCAAACAATGTTTGGGAAACAAAAATGTTTAACAAAGGAATTTTCTAACAATATCTGTGAGTGATGGTGCATGATAAAATGCTTCTCTATTTATTTTTCATTTCCCAGTTAGATAATTTCTCTTAGAGGTTGCCTTTTCTCTATGACTTTGTTTCAAGATACTTTCAAATTATAATTCCATTCAAAATCTGAGAAAAAATGTCTCTCCACCTAAGAAAACAACAAGAGAAAAAAGTTATACTTCTAATTAATTATGCATTACAGTGCCACGTTACACTGTACAAGGTTACCAACGTCTCGGAAGAACAAATCGCCTAAATCTGCAGGCTCGAAAATCTCGTGTATAAACTTTATTTTCCAAGACATAGAAGAGACTATAAATGTTACTGAACCGTATATTAAATTATTTTGCAATTAATTACAGCACAAACGTAATTCAATACTACTTCTTCATAATATTCAACAATAAAAATAAAAATAACTTCTACAAATACCCTTAACGTCATCATTCAGTATCCCGCAAAATTGTGGGGCAAGAGTTTATGGAAATGCGGACAGACTGACAGACACGGGGCTAACTTAACTTTCATCAAGTAATTCAGAAAACAGCCCCTGCCTCTCTCTGTCCTCCCATCCCTGTAAGAAGCGCTGTAGGAACATCGACATACAGAACAACGTCATTACCGACATCTGTTACAAAACAAGCGTTGTGAGCTAGAAAACTACTCGCCAGTAGCACTCCACTACACCACCACAACTGCTATACCAACGCAGCAGTCCAACAAGCAACGCCATTTGCATAATCTGGAAAAGCAGGGGAAAATGTTAGTGGGCAGAAGGAAAATGGCGCCTTTCTGAGATTACAGATGTGCAAAGGCTTTCTCTCTCTTTCGAAGAAGAAGAAGAAGACAAGAGTATTAACTAATAACTACGCAGCACTGTTCTCCCACGCTGCCAGTTGCATATTTAACCAATTTTTAAACATGATTAAAAACCTTGGCAGAGTTATAAAAAATTTAGAAAGTTAAAAATGCAAAATTAAGTTGCCTCTGCTTTTGTATAATGAACACGAGAAGGGAAACTTCAAATGATGAACAATAATATGTAAAGCTATGGGGAAATTTTCGTTCCCGCTCGTCAGTAATCTTGTTACTTCCAAGAAAGGTAGAGAGAGCGGGGAAAAATTGTGGATTGAAGTCTTATATTTTGATTCAAATTTCACGTAACGCTAAGTGAATTATTAGTTTTAAAAGTGGGAAAAATTATTACATTTTCCTTTAAAATAACAAATGAAAGGAAATGAAAATGACATTGTAAACAACCGATGAATAGTTTCCAAGGGAATGATACAACGATAGAAAATGTTATATGCAGGCTCCATAACGCTCATAAGAATGTAGAAAATTACACAAAGAATAACTTGATAATTTGTACTCTTCACCAAATAGCCTCTCGTTAGGGTTGGGAAAGCGTTCAGCGCGAACACGGTTGATGAAAAATTAAGAGACATCTTTGGATGGAAAACATATCGCAAATCATTTGTTATGCAGGAATATCACAACTAACACATGCATCACCGTTATAAATAACGTGCTTGGTGATTCGTAGAACATGAACGGTACTTTACACGACAATGCAGGGAGCGCAGAGGTCCAGCGCTTGGCACTACTACATGTAAAGAACAGAATACAAGACGTTAAGCTGTCTGTTTTTTATCCGAATTAGTGCCAGCAATAAATCAAAACTGGAGAAGGAAATGTTCATAAACATCAATATACATGTTCGTAAACCTCACGGCTCTTTTGAAGAAAAAATACTGAGAGCAAATAATAATCCACTGTTCAGTTGTCTACTTCCAAATTAAGTAAAATCTCAGTAAGCAAGATTTCTTTTAAGTCAGATATCATTCAAAGCAAACACCGCCTAAAGGGATACGCGAAATCAAATAATACTAATTCTATCATTTTTTAAGAGTATAAACCAGAAAGCAAACATCAGAACTGATAAGTGAGAAGAGTTGTTACTAAATCTCTACATTGAAAAATCTTTAATGGATTAGAGTCTGTGTGCTTTTCCGGGTATTCTGCAGTACCTTAACGCATAAAATAAGATCTCAATGTTCGTATTTGTTTAACATAATAATGGAATATCTTTCTGCTGAAATGTAATGACATTCTCCTAAGTCTATTTGTTCAGAGTCTTAGCTCGTGGCTATTATGGCCTTGTTCGTACATGCTTAGGATTTGTAAAATCCGTGAAGAATGCGTGGAAATTGTTTCAGATGCATCACTAAGAGCCATCAACACTTTCTGGAATTACCAGTTTTAGATACGCAAATTAATAGTTCTTTAACCTATTTAGGTGAATAGCTTTTATAACCTGTGATACAATTTGGAACACCTCAATATGCATAGATAAAAGTTGCTGTTACATTTTCTTATTTTCGTAAGAAAACTAGCTTCATGCGTTTTCAAAATGATGTAAACAGTAATTAAACACTTTGCAGCGTCTAAAATATTGATTATGCGCACGCCATCTACCATTTTAACATAAAACTAATTCGATTTAAATTTGATATTCACATTTCTTACTTAATTCGCGTGATGTTCAAACACTATGGAAGTCTTTGAACACGAACATTTTGTTTCATAAATTTATCTGATTCCTTTTAAATAAACTTCACCTAACATATATGTGATTCGGGAATCTTGTGGCAAAAATATGAAATGCGATCGATTGTTCCATGCGGAAAGAATA